TGTGAAATGGGGTTTCACTATGTTGCCCAGGCTACTGTTAAACTCAAGTGATTTTCTTACCTTAGCCCCCTGAGTAGCTGGGGCTAAAAGCACACACCACCATCATGCCTGGCTTCTTAAGGTTTTTTTTTTTTTGGGGGGGGTGCTGGGGATTGAACCCAGGGCCTTGTGCATGTGAGGCAAGCACTCTATCCAACTGAACTATATCCCTAGCCCCCAAGTTTTTTTTTTTTTCATTTTTTACTTATTTTATTTGATACCAGGGATTGAACCCAGGGGCAATCAACCACTGAGCCATATCCCCAGTCCATTTCTTTCTTTTTGTTTTAAGACAGGGTCTTGCTAAATAATTGCTTAGAGCCTTGCTAAATTGTTGAGACTGGCTTTGAACTTGTGATCCTCCTGCCTTAGCCTCCCTAGGAGCTGGGATATCAGGTCTGTATCACTGTGCTCGGCTTCTTAAGTCTTTTTAAAACTCTCCCCCTTCCCTCCAAGAATCTAGTTAATATGTGAATTATAAAATGTTATAATTAAGAAAGAAAAAATATGCAAAATATAAGAATATCGAAATATAAGGATATGTTTTAGTTTAAAACATAATAGATTCAGATTAGATGTTGCTAAGAATCTCTCTAAAATTAGACTGGAAGAATAAATGTGTCATTTAAAATAGATTGGGAAATGATTTTCTCGAGGCATAGTTACTTCGCTTCCCTTTCTTTCCTCTATCTCCTGAGGGAACATAAGGGCATTAAAGGAGTGTTAGGACCCTTTAGATGAGACAGGAGAACTAGGAGGTAAATCTTATGTCAGAATAAAAAAGGCTGATTTCCCAACCATGTTGTTTATCTTTGATGAAAAACTAGTTTAAGCCCTATTTAGGTCACCTGCTAAAACTTTTTTTTTTCACTTCTTTTTCTTTGTGCTTGGAATTGAACCCAGGGTTGCTTTGCCACTGAGCTACTATCCAGTGTTTTTAATGTCTTCATTTTGAGATTGGGTCTTGCTAAATTCTCCAGGCTAACCTTGAACTTGTGATCTTTCTGCCTCAGCCTTGCTTGAATTACAGGCATGCACCGCAGTGCTGACTCCCTTAAAGCTTTTTAAGGGTCTCTCCTGCAGCTTACGCATGCACAGAATGCCTGGTTCTGGCCACCAGGTAATAGTGCAAACTTCCCAGCTGTGAGCAATAGCAGTGAGAATGACTGTGCCAGCCTCAGTCAGACTACAAACTACTGCCTTTCTCTGAGAGCTGGACTGGGCACCCTGTCTGGTGTGCTGTCTCCCTTATGCTCAAGTATAAGCCCCAATAAAGCCTTGTTAGGATGGTTTTACTTACCTGTTTGTGATTTTTCTTTTTTTGTCAATGTCATTGTAAATTTTTTTTTTGGTAGCAAACCTTTTTTATTTGTTTATTTTTATGCGGTGCTAAACCCAGTGCCTCACACATGTTAGGCAAGTGCTCTGCCACTGAGCTAAACCTCCATCCCCGTTTGTGATTTCCATCTAAAATTGAGCAAAAGAACACTCAGCTGGTTGGTAATGAAAGCAATCTATTAGAAGAGAATGCTGCTTGCCCCCAAAATCCTTTCCAAGGAGGGCTTTGGTGCCCACGTTCTATGACTTCAGGGCAGAGTACTGGCTCTTTGCCCACCCCACCCAAGCTATTCTATTTAGGAATTTTGGAACAATTTTGAAGGTACTCTGCCCAGATCTTGTTCAGGGCTCAGGAACCCCTTCTGCTACTGCAGGAAGTGTCAGTGGGGATTGCCTTGAGATGTCCCAGCCATCCTTCCCAACATCTTGTCAGAGGCAGCCCTAAGCAAATGACTACCTGCAGGGCTGGGGGGAACAAAGCTCTGGTTTCCTTTCTTCGATGTGGTACAATGTGGAAGGATAATCCCAACTCCAGAGCTCTCCATGGGACTGCAGATCAGGCTCTGCTGGAACCGCACCGTGGGTCAGCTTCTCCCAGCCCATAGCTACCAGTTTCACTTCCAGACTCATTTTCTGCACTCATTTTTGTTTCAAAGTCTTTTCCCGAAAACTCAGTAGTTTAAAGCATTTAGCAAAAAGTCTCCTCTCACCCTTATTCTCCAGCCACCCAATTTTTTTTTGATTCAATCATGTTTATCAGTCAGCTCTATATACTTGCCATGTAATTATAAACATAGATGCATATATTCTCTCTCATTATTTTTTACAGAAATGATATCTTACTACATAAACCGTCTTCTAATACTATATCTTGCAAAGCTGCCTTATTATTTTTAATGGATGTTTACAGTGAATATACCACAATTTATCTAACCATCACTCTATTATTATTGTATGTGTATCCGTCTATTATTATGGTATGTATACACTGTTTCCAGTCTCTTGTTATTACATACCATGCTATGATATATGACTGCCGCAGTCTGGCTGGGCACAAAATCATGAGCCACTCAAGCAGGAACAAGCTTTATTTCTGAAACTCCCGCCAATGCCACGCACCCTCCGGGAAATATGCCGAGCCACACACGCGGCGTTCTCCCCGGACACACTACACCAACAGACAAATCCCTCCTCCGGAAATCCCTCCTACTGCACTTCCCCAACCAATGGGAACTCTCCGGGAGTCCCGCTAGAGCTCCAAAGAAGCAGGCCGGGAGCTGGGGATGTGGCTCAAGCGGTAGCGCGCTCGCCTGGCATGCGTGTGGCCCAGGTTCGATCCTCAGCACCACATACAAACAAAGATGTTGTGTCCGCCAAAAACTAAAAAATAAAGATTAAAATTCTAAAAAAAAAAAAAGTAGCAGGCCTAGGCAGACAGCAGGGGTCTAATATCCATTTGAATGCAGATCTTAACATAATCATATCATCTCAATGGCTTGCTGGCGTCACCTTTCAACCAAAAATGCCATGCATCATTCCTACTTGGCTATGGCTCTCAGCATATAACTTCTGGTATGTATGTGTCTTTTCAAAAATATGTGATTATATCTCTTGTTTACTAGCTAGAAGTTGAATTGTCTGGTCAAAAAGTTCGTGCCTTTAAAATAATGATAGAAGGGCTGGGGGTGTAGTTCAGTGGTGGAGTGCATGTTTGGCATGCACAAGGCCCCAGGTTCAATCACTGGCACTAAAAATAATAATGATGACAATGATAGATGTTGCCAGATTGTTCTCCACAGAATCTGATAAATGAGAATGCTATTTTCCTATGCTTTAGCCAATGCCCTGAATTACTTTTTTTTGATCTTTATCAATCTGATAAGTGAAGAAATTATTTAATCATAGTTTTAACTTGCTGTTGAGACAATTGAATGTCTTATATTTAAAAGTCATCATAGTTGTTTTTTGTGTGTGTTCATGTGTGAACTGTTTATTCAGATTCATTGTCCGTTTTTCCATTGAGTTGTTGTTCTTGTTTCTTATCTATTTGTAGGAACTCTTTGTATCTTAGAAAACCTAGATTTATAATATAAACTACAATTTTTTTTTTTCAGTTTTTAATTTGCACTTAGACTTTGTGGGCAGTTTTTGCCATTTTCATTTATAATTAATAATTAATTAATTAATTTCAGACAGGGTCTTGCTAAGTTACCTAGGCTGACCTTGAACTACGATCCTCCTGCCTCAACCTCCTAAGTAGCTGGGACTACTCATGAGATGCTCACCACCACACTCAGCTTGCTTTGCTAATTTTTAAGATGTAATTAAGATGTAATTTATTAATCATCTGAGATTTATGGGATTTGTGTTATAATAGTAATAAAGAAAACAGCTTTAAGATAAAATTCAAGGTGTACTAGTAAGAACCATCCCAATTTAAACTTTGAATAAGATCAGAACTATCTTATTGCTGAGAACTTATCTATCTTCCCTCTGTTCCACCCTCTAAAACTTGCTTCTCTCCTCATCTAATTTGATCTTTCTGTTTGCTAAAGGACAGCCTTGGATTAACTCTTTTTGTCTCAGATCCTTTATTTAACTTATCAGTCTGTCTAGTCAACTTTACCTTTTTGTTTTTTGGTGTTGGAGATTGAACCTGGGACCTCCTTAACATTAAACATACACTCTACCACTGAGGGTTGCACACAGCCCAGCTCTACCTTAAAATATTCCTGGAATTTGACTTCTTTTCATAGCTTCCCCCCAAACCAGTCCAAGCCATCATCAATATCACTGGTTATTGTAGAGGCTCCTACATGGTTTTTCCTTCTTCTGCTCTGGCCTTTTCATATTTCACTCTCAATCAGTCAGAGAGCGCTTTTTTTTTTTTTAAGAGAGAGAGAGAATTTTAATGTTTATTTTTTAGTTTTCAGTAGACACATCTTTATTTGTATGTGGTGCTGAGGATTGAACCCGGGCTGCACGCATGCCAGGCAAGCGCAATACCGCTTGAGCCACATCTCCAGCCCTATTTTAGCACTCTTATGATCAAGATCCTACTGAGTCTCCTCATCTGAAGTCCTCATAAAGTCTTCTGCTCCTCTGGACCCTCCAACTGTGTCTCCCACTGCATATTGCCTGGTCTGCTCTGCTTCCTTGTTTTTTTTTTTGTGGGGTGCAGAGAAGGGTTGGTACCAGGGATTGAACTCAGGGGCACTCTACCACTGAGCCACACCCCCAGCCCTATTTTGTATTTTGTTTAAGGACAGGGTCTCACTGAATTGCTTAGTGCATCGCCATTGCTGAGGCTGGCTTTGAACTCATGATCCTCCTGCCTCAGCCTCCTGAGGAGCTGCGGGGATTACAGGCATGTGCCATCGCACCTGGCTTCTTCTTGTTATTTATCACTTGAATATTGCAAACTCATGACTCCAGGACTTTGCTTATTTTGTGCCTCTTTCTGGAATGTGTCCCTCAGAAATTACAAGCTCGGGGCTAGGGTTATGGCTCAGCGGTAGAGCACTCACCTGGCACGTGCGAGGCCCTGGGTTCGATCCTCAGTACTGCATAAAAAATAAATAAATAAAATAAAGGGAGGTGTCGTGGGTAGAGGCCTGCCGGCTATGGGGCGACCGGCCTTGCTGTTGCTCGTGATGTGTGCTGCCGGCTCCCAGGGGCTCTACTTCCACATCGGCGAGACAGAGAAGCGTTGCTTCATAGAGGAAATCCCCGACGAGACCATGGTCATCGGTCAGGCCGGCTGAGGGTGGAGAGGCCCTTTGTTTTCGCCTGGCCCTCGGAAGTGCCCCTCCTCCCGAGCTTGGCCAGGCAACTATCGAACCCAGATGTGGGACAAGCAGAAGGAGGTTTTCCTTCCCTCGACCCCTGGCTGGGGCATGCATGTGGAGGTGAAGGACCCCCGACGGTAAGGTGGTACTGTCCGGACAGTATGGCTCCGAGGGCCGTTTCACGTTCACCTCCCACACCCCCGGTGAACATCAGATTTGTCTGCACTCCAATTCCACTAGAATGGCCCTCTTCACCGGTGGCAAACTGCGTGTGCACCTAGACATCCAGGTCGGGGAGCATGCCAACAACTACCCTGAGACTGCAGCTAAGGATAAGCTGACGGAACTGCAGCTCGGTGCTCGCCAGTTGCTTGATCAAGTGGAACAGATCCAGAAGGAGCAGGATTACCAGAGGTATCGTGAAGAACGCTTCCGTCTGACCAGTGAGAGTACCAACCAGAGGGTCCTGTGGTGGTCCATCGCTCAGACAGTCATCCTTATCCTTACTGGCATTTGGCAGATGCGTCATCTCAAGAGCTTCTTTGAGGCCAAGAAGCTGGTGTAGTGTCCTCTCTGTATGACCCTTTTTACTTTAGTTCTTTGGTACTTTCTCCAACCAATCCCTTAACCACCTGGATTTTGAGGGGGGAAAAAAATGCAAAAGAATATGACATGTTGGTAGCATGGCAACAAACCATTCTGATCAGTAACTTGTTTAACCTTGATTCTCATGGACACAGGACATTGGTCCAAGATTTCAAATTCTATTTTAGGGCTTATAAGGAATTGAAACTAATATAAGTCTTGTCTCTTGCCTCCAGTGATTCCCCTGTCCTCTCAAAAAATGAGCAAATGACCTTCTGTTTTTTCTTCATCTGATTACACAGTAGGTGACTGGCATACCCCACAAAGGAGGCCTTGCCTCACTGTTCCCTAGCCAGTTACTTGGTTCACTCAATGTGAATGTAAATAAGAGGCAGGTCTTGGCCCCAGAGGATCGAGATGTTTTTCTATATATTAGAACTATTTTTTGATAAATTATATATTTTCCTTCCTAGTTGAAGTGTTACTGCCTGTAACTAGCTGAAAACACCAATCTAGTCCTTGTGCATTCTGTTTATTCACACGTTTTTATAATGGCAGCTCTCAGGATTTCAGCAGTCTGTGGGCCAGAAGCAGATGTTAACAGCTGCTCTCAAGGCCATATTAGAAGGCCTAGCAGAATTCTCTTGGACACCTGTGATTCCCATCTGATAGGGCCTCAGAGTCAGGTAAGACAGTTAAAGAGCCAGTATGGACAGTGCACTCCTATCCCCCCTCTTCCCAATTTATTTAAGCTGTGGTAATGTTTTCTTCAAGGGAACGAAATTTGGTTCTTTATTCAGATTTTTCCAATTAAATAAAACGTCTTACAGTAGTTGTGTTTGAGATGAAATAAGAGGTTGTGGGCAGAGGAGAAGCAAAAAGGGAAAGAGGAAAAATTCTTGGTCAGCCAGGGTGGGTGATCTGGTATGGACCTTAGTGTGGACTGTGTTAGGGCTTGGCTTGGATGGACCTCTTTCTGGGAAACTAAGAGTGGACAGAGTGGTTCCTTAACCATTCTCAGGCCAAGTGGAGAACATTTCAGCAAGGACATAAATTTGAACAGCTAATGATGCCCTTCTTCTGTATAAAAACTTTATTATTAGTTGCCCATTCCTGACACTTTATTTCATAATTTTATTATAAATATATTTGGAATATTATTTATTAAATTACTTTATCTGACCTACAGAACTAAAAAATAAAATAAAATAAAATAAAGGTATTGTGTCCAACTACAACTAAAAAATAAGTATATTTTAAAAAATCACAAGCTCATTTCTTTACTTCTTTCAGGATTTTGCTCAAATGTCACCCATTTAGTTGGACCCTCTTGAATTACTCTACTTCAAATTTCACTTCCCTCTCCAACCACATCTGATACTCTCTGTTCTTCTTCTTACTCTATTTTTCTCTGAAGCTCACATTTCACATGGCATCTATATATGTTGCTTATTTACTTGCTTAATATCTTCCCTCCTTATTCCTGCCCCCAGTTTTCTCTACGAAAATGTGCTGTGTCCACATTGCCTTCATTTCTGTGTCTTAACCCTCAAACAGTGCCTGTCACATAACCGTGATTGATTGGATCCTGAATTGTACCCTTTAGGGTAAAAGGCATAAAACGAAGAAAGGCATATGTGTTAAAAAAGCTTAAGCTCTTCCAGGTAGGTGTGTGAAATTGGTACTGAGAAACTAATGCTAGAAAATGCAAGTTTAGCCTCCTTTTAAGAGATTTCGGGGTAAGGTTATACTTAATTACATATGGAGTTGGGAAACATTGAGGAGAAATGATCAGGAAATAAAATCCTGGGAAATGGGTCTAAATTGCTTAGTCTACTGGTATGGCAGATGCATGGGGATTACACATATCAGAGCAGTGTCATGGTGTCCGTGAGGAGGCTGAAGTAATAGTGATGTTTTCAGAAAGGAATGCTATGGAAACCCCTGGGTATGCTGAACGGATATAAGTTGGCAAGTGATGGTGAAAATGGAGTTTGAGATGAAACTTGATTTTCTGCTTGTACTGGTGGCTGGAGTAAGTTGCTGAGTAACTTGCTGGCCTCTGAAGCCAAGAAAGCCTGTTTTTTAGTGTAAGCAGCTAATCACAGCAGGGGATGCCTGTCAGTGTCAGATTCTAGGTGTCAACTCAGAGAGTTGAAGCTGGCAAAGCCCGATTTTTCTCCACTGTCACTAAATGGCATTTGGCAGCTCTCAGTATTGCAGCTCTAAATGGGGGGCTGTGCTCTCCAGTGTTGCAATAGACTCCAGCAGCTCACCGTCAACTTCTTTCCAGCTTCTTGTTTCACAAATCTAGGAAAAGAGAAGGCAAGATTGAAAGGAGTAGCATTTATTCTAGTGTGAAGAACAGAAACAACTTGCAGGTACAAGAGGAGATCCCCCATAGGGGTTGCTGAATGAATATGTTAGTCTAGGGATTTATATAGCACTTGGGTTGACACTATTGGTCCCAATTTATGCTAATCAGGGTTTGGCAAAGTACCAATGCTATTGGTTAGCTCTGCAATCTCATTCAGGTCTGCCCCGCCCCCACACCCATCCTCAGATTGTAGATGATTGGGGGTTCCGGGCTGCAGCACTATGTGGAGCAGGTGTCTCTACCAGGCTGGGCTGGGCTGCCTTGTGGGACAGGTCAGTTCACTCTGTCTTGCTTCAATGATGGCTCATTGCACCTCAGGCCCAAGTCAGCATGGTGGCCCATGTAGATGCACAGAGCCTGCGGTAATGGCTTGCCCTTGGCTAGGGACAGGAGCAGGTAGTCAAGATGTGGCTGGGCCCCTGTGTGCTTGAGTCTGCCCTGGCCACCACTCCATCACTCTGGGACAAGTGCTTGGATTCAATGGATTATAGAAAGTAAACAAGGAGAGACAGAGAGTGATACAATAGTCATTCCTTAATAGCATGTCCTTGATGCTGTTGGTTCCTTATGAAACCAGAACTCTGATCCTTCCATGTTTCCTCCAGGGGTTGATGTATTTATCTATAAAGAGAAAATTGCCTGATTGAGAGAATAGTTGTTCCCTTTATCCTAGAAATAAGAGAACAAGGAATAAAACACCTCAATATTGGGGAGCCAGGTTGCATGAGTTGAACCCAGCAAAATGCTTGGTAAAGAGGTTGAAGATCTGTTGAGGCTGTCGCTTAGGAGTAGCACATTTGCCTAGCTTGCATAAGGCCCTGGGTTCAATCTACACACACACACACACACACACACACACACACACACACACACGGCTGCAATCATTTGCCTTTTCTGGCTCTTTAAATGCTTCATGGGATGTTGATCATGGCTGAATTCGACAAGGACTTTCATAGCTGTCCAGGGAGGCATGATCCAACAGTCAAAAATGAATCCAGTAGCTCCTCTAGTCTCCCAGGATTGCTCAGCATCCTCACCTGTGTGGAAAGTCTCCCCGTTGAAAACATGCATGTTATATAACAGGTAGCACATAGATATTCCAGAAAAAGATCAAAGAAAGCCACAGATACTTCCCAATCCTTCCATTATCTGCATTTGGCCTAGCTTTTTTACACAAGCACCAAGTGATTAAATGTTCTACTCCATACAAAAGTCTATGTGATTCAGAGAGACAGACCATCCAAAGACTTTCTATCTACCAAGAAAATAGATTCATCTATGGTAGCTTGGGAAATTTTTTCTTTAATAATCTTGTGTCTTCTAAGTTAATTTCTTTAGGTTTGTTAATTTTAAAAAATGATTACTGAAATATGTAAATAAAAATTTATTGGAATACAGCCATGCCTGTTTACAAAGGAAAGAAAACTTCAATCAGCTTAATGTTGCGTTCATTCTCGGGTTGGGCCATGTGTCACTGACACAGTCATGGCCAAGTGGCCTGGAGCGTTCCTTTCTTGCCAAACACAGCCGTTTCCCTCTAGGCTTTCTTGGCCCAAGTTCCAATGAAACATGAATCATCCCTAATCACTGCTTTACTTGAATGGAGTATTTGAGCAGTTTGAGTCAGCTTGACTGTGTCAAGTACCAAAAGCAAAGAACCTAGTGTATTTGACTCCAAATTTGAAAGCCCAACAATAAAAGATACTCAGCGACCAAAGGGTTTATTTATTATAGGGTCAGCTTGGTATACTAATTAGCGTAGTCAAGCTCTGTGCTCCTGTTCCTCCCAGCTATAAAGAATTCTTACTGTACATTTCTTAAAGATATTTTAATACAATACAGGAAACCAGCAAGTGTAAGGTAGAGAGGTCACATTGTCCCCTCTTACATTTCACATTTTGCAATGAAATGTAAGACAGTGAAATGAAATAAGTGAAGCTCTGCAATGTAATTATTTGTTACAGACCCTAAAACAGGCTAGTAGAGGAACCAGAATTGGAATCCAGGTCCTCTTGCCTTTAACTCTACCATGTTTACTATTGGGTAATTAGGTACACTATTTGGCAATATAAACTTTGAGCAGAATTAGCACATAAACAATTTAGTCATTTTTTCAGAGGAAATATACCAGAGATCTGTTTCTTGAGGGACCTTTGGAAGCATCCACTTTAACTTCCTGTTACATGAGGAATTCCATTAAATTTCACAGGTGGAGTATACTAGAATAATATCAGCCGCTGTAACAAAACAACTCCCAAACTTTATTGACTAAACACAGTTTATTTCCTGCTCATTTAACAGCATGGGTGTTCCTTACTGGTGGTAGCCTTCCACACAGTGATTTGGATACTCAAGTTTCCCATTCTAAACTCCACTGAGTTTCCATATTTAGGGTTTCCATATCCCTCTCCCCATGTAGGTAGACAGAAGCCTTCTTGGTCCTCTTGGTCTTAAGAGAATACATATTTTGTGGGTGAAAATTATTCGTGTTTCCTCATCTGGCTGAAAGAAAGGCTGAAAATGCAATCTGTGACTGACACTGCCTCTTGCACTGTGAAAGGGGGAACACAAATGTTTGAGCCTACCCCAAAGCAAGGGGGCTACGCCTACACCTCTGCATCAGTCATTCAGTAGCCCCAGTGTATTCATGAGGTGGGGAATGCATTAACCTTCTAGTTGCATCTGGCTTGGGGAGCTCCCTTCAGCCAAAAGCAAACCCCTTGGGAAGAGCACAGACGTAAGCTAAGCTACTAGCAGCCAACATTGGCTTGCCAGCCTGGGAAGGGGATATAGGAATACACCAAGAGCATCTGGTACAGTCTAACATTTGTACCACTCAG